CGCGGAGAGATATAACAACACTGCGACAGTAATTTGGCTTATATTCACAACTATAGCTACACGAATTCCACGTTACTCACTGATAACGTGGTTTTTTAATGGTGAAAAAATTTTTGAAATCCACTCAGTAATTTTTGATGTATTTCAATACATACAAAATACAAATCTTTCCTCTTTATAACATTAGTGTAGATTTAGATTATTATGGCCGAATATTGAAGCTTCAGTAAAATTATGTCTGTCAGATTGTATGCAGTGCTTATGATGCAAAGTTTTAAAGTTTTTTTTTCAGTAATCGGCCGTTAATGTGACTTAGCATGCCTTATTATTTTGTTGTTTAAAGCTTTTTCTTAGTAGTTTAAATATATTTGTAACAAGAAAGATGGTGTTCTATATTGATCCGATTCTATCAACGACTGGAATCAAATTTGGAAAATGGGAAATGCAAGAATTTTTAAATAATTTAGAAAATGTCATCCTAGCTGTAAATGTTATTTACAGAAAACCTGAAGAGGATATACCTAAGAGTATAACGGTACAGAACGTAAACAAATTCGGCAGCAGCTCGAGAAAGAGCCAAGTGTTTGAATCGACACGACTTAATGTGGATAAGGACGATGTCGATGCTGGCGACAAAACTAAAAAGATACACCATCAGTAAGTGAGCTCACGTTGACGGAAACAAAAATCAGTGTCAACGAAATTCAACAGATTCTTTGAGATGTGAAAGATGGCGATTTTTAGGAATTTATCTCATAATTGTTCAAATGCATGTATTTTTTTTATTTTGCAAATTAAATATGTATTGCATGCTTTTTATTTGAAAGTGGACATTGATTTTTGTTTTTTTTTTCTGTAGCATATTTAATATTTATCATTTCGAATTAATTCAATAAATTTACATAATGTTATTTAATTTTACATAAAAAAGTTTTTTGTATGTATTAAGTTTTTTATGTCTGTTAGATGGGAGGTGGAGGGCAAGAGCACCTCCCCGAAGAGTGCGTGTGCCGGAGGGCGGCGCGAGGAGGGCTGGAAGGAGGTGGTCCGCAAGTCCAGCGTGCAGACGCTCTCCGCCGTCGAGCCCGGGTCAGTAACAAAATACTCGGAGACAGTTACTCAAAGTGCCGTATTCAGTGTCATTATCTCCTGGTAATAGCTATCAATACTAACTGTACTAAAAAATACAGACTATTTTGTCCGCGCGAAACAAAAAAGCGTAAAAAACCTATGTGTTCTTCCAGACAATATTCTACATTTACGTCAAATTTCATCAAGATCTGGTAGCCCCTTTTATAGATACGAAATAACAAATATCTATTCATTAGAGGGGTGGGCACTGAGCAACGCGCTAATGACCTTGATCCGCCAAGATATTTGAAGAATGTAATAATGAATGTTTTATGGTGTTGTATTTAGATGCAAGAAGGTGTCTGTGGGCGCGCACGCGATCTCTCGTGTGATCGGTCGCGCGGGCAGCAACATCAACGCCATCCGCTCCGCCACCGGCGCTCACATCGAGGTGGACAAGCAGGGCAAGGGACAGGGCGAACGCATCATTACCATCAAGTTAGTATAGAACTTCGAATTATTACACTCTTATTACTCATATGTTCTTAACATATTGTCTGTTTAGTTTAAATTGTCCGAATTGAGCAGGCTTTACTATTAAACTAGTGATAAAAAAACGATGAAATACCCAAATACGTAAAAAGGGTTTTATGACACTTATCTACTTTAAATTGTGTAAAGTAATTAATTAGAAAGAACTATAGAATAATGAGAATAAAGTTGTTATTAGATAATTCAGTACAAGGAATAGAACCTAGTGGCATTTTAAAATTTGCAATATAATTCATAGAATTGGAACATAAGTTTTATTTCTCTGGAAATAGTAAACACACTAAAAATGATGGTATACATAAGTTGTGTGCGTTGCAGGGGATCAGCGGAGGCGACGAAGCAGGCGGCGAGTCTGATCGCGGCCATGAT